ATTCTAGAGACTTTTCATGGCAGGCACCATCAATGAAACTGCTTTTCACAACTGTTTCATTATTACACTGCATATACTGTTTTGCAACAACATCAGCAGAAATCAAACGATAGTCGGTGTCAACGTTTCTAAGTACATCAAGCTGAATACCAGTTCATCAATCCTAGCTGTTGTTATGCTGGCAGTCTGAGCAACTGAACCATCTAGAGCAGGGGTCTCAAACTCAACTTACCTGGGGGCCGCTGGAAGTAGAGTCTAGGTGAGGCTGAGCTGCATCAAGTATTCCACCACCGTGGTGGTGGTGGGCTGCTCATACTGCGGCCAGCCTGGGTGCCGCCGACACTTTGAAGGCCGCAGGGCCCCTTCCCTGTGCCCTGCCCGGCCCAGCAATTGGCCCGCAGGCTGCGAGTTTGAGACCCCTGATCTAGAGGATCTGATCTGATCTAAGAAACAGGCCTCTAGATGGAGAGGTTGGATTTTAAATACCTACTAAAGTATCTGGCAAATAACACAGATGGTGCAGTTGACATTCCTTATCTGACCTTTTGGAACTGGTTTGGAAGGCAGAAAAGTACACCAAACAGGCTTTGGCTGGAGCTCAAAGATTTGCACTGGTGGCTTCCATGGTGCCAGAAAACTGGATGGCACCCTGTGCCAAAAAGACATTGTTCTGGCAAGAGTCAGTTGTGGTACCTGAAACACATCATCTGAAGGGGCCCCTTGACTGTGTGGCAGGGGGTGGGCTATCACTGAGTAGCTGTATATCCAAAGTGGTCTTAAATCAGGGGATATGATTACCAGTTATCCCAGTAGTAATGATGAAGCAAGATAGGGCCCATTTCAATCTGACACTCCAACCTGAGATAGAAGAACAGGAGTGTTGATATTGTTCCCTGTAGTTCCCTGACATCTCTAGGTCAGGGAAGGATTAAAGAATAAAAAGGGAGGGTAAAAATAAGATAACCAGAAAAAAAAACCAGGACAATGGATGTTAAAAACATCAGCAAATCACAGTCCTATGGAGAAGAACTTCCCTGAGCCTACTACAGTGGTGGTCAAAGATGAACTGAGAGAATGAACAGGAGCTCATGCAGAAGATGCATTAGCAGGTGGGCGAGGTTCCTGCCAAAAATTCCTCCGCTATTGAAGTTTCCCAATAGAGACTCCACACAGGTGCAGAACGGCTGTGCGATTTACAGAGACCACAAAGACCACCTATGCTGCCAGCTAGCTATAGTCCCTTTGCATGCAGGTGAGAAGAATAGAATTGAGGAGTGAAGAGAGTTCTTAGCTAAACATTAAGAAAGAAAATGACAATTAAGGTTATTAGGAAAGGAAAATTTACTTTCTAATTCTCCAGCTCCAAAGTCAGTGCAGATTTATCTACTTTCCATAAGGAGCATTCAAGATAGAAAGTACTTATTTTAATGACTGTAAATGCCTCAAAAGATTTCCCAAAACAAACAAAAGGCCACCTCAAAATGCCAGGTTTCATAATCACAAGTTTAAAGAGTCCTGGGCTGACAAGCATATAATGGAATATAGTAGTCCCAAGTCAAAATGACTGTACTACTTTCCTATCCAGTTCATGTGCTAACACTCCCTTTTGTCTGCCACACTGAACATTCTAGGGTGACAGCTTTTACAGTGTGTTGTATCTACTACAAGCAATACTACAAGTTCTACACTAATGTCCCATTGAGTTCAATGGGACTTAGTCCATTTGTATATACATAATCCTAGTCAGTCTTAATTGGTTTTGGAAACTTCTCTCATTATATCCAATGTTAAAGACAACTGTAGAAAAGTCTGAATAACTTGCACCAACTTCAGATCAGAAATTCAATTTCAGAGAACTGTTAACTTCTAACAGCTTATACTGGATTTATCATCAATGCACAACATGGTTTAAAACAGTAAAGTAACCTCAGAGAAATGGGTGGGTAGTCCAGAAACACAATGGCCAAATCTATGAAGGTCCTTTGCTTATTCACAAGCATTAGTTTGGTAGCATGGGAAAAGTTCTCATTCCCGTCCCCTCAGGTCAAGTGCTGTTCTGCCTCTGAGCTGCCAAACAACTGGCTGAGGAACGAATGGCTGTATTGCAGAAAGGCCAAATCAACCACTGCTGGCAGGCTGGCTGACATGCAGCATTCCTTAGCCCCACCACACTAACAGTTTCCTCCTCAGGAATTGTTATTTTAAAAGTGGCAGGGAACTGCAGTAACCACATGGTAAGTGTTCCATAAAGGGGCAGGAGTTGTTAATATCTCCCTTTTCTGGAGCAGCTGGACACTCAAAGAAATGTTGAAAAGCTGGTGGGCACTGAGAAGTGCCAGAGCAACTTTAAAACTGTGCGGAATACATTGGGGCATCTGCTTTTTTTACCGCCCCCCGCAACTGTGCACAAATTATTCTGTATGCCGTCTCCTCTTGCCAAGCCTACTCCACTTTGCTGCTTCCTTCCACAGCTGACACAGACAGGTTGATCAGGTAAATCTTCGTGCATCAGACAGTTAGAAATATACACTTGTGAAAGACTGACAACACTAGTTTTTTTTTTTTTTAATGAGTCCAATTTAACATTTTTGAGGAACAACAACAGCAACAAACTTTAAAAGCCAAGGCACAAGTAGCGTTCCTTCCAAAGTTCTATTTCATTATCTGTGGAAAGGCAGTCACTAATGAGATCATAAAAGCAAGTAGGACAGCTCTATAGTTATTCCCATCAACCCATAATGAAGTTGCCCTGCTGGCTTCAGATAACAACAAATCACCATGCGCAGGAACGACCCTAAACCAAAGTTCTCAGGCTGGCTCCTTTGTTAGGAAAAATAAAGCCACCCTGAAGAAACTACATGGGATCCAGACAACAACAACGCATCATGGCTGGTTACTCATGGTGGGTTTTCCTAGTATATGAATCAGGTTTTTATATCCTTCTCGCTGGTGTGGATTCTACAAGGTAATAATTCAAGTATCAGCCTTTAAATGATCACAGAAGTCCTTATAATCCCAAACGCTGATTACCATTAACCATGGCAGAATAAAGTATACAAACACCAACTCCCTTCAGGAAAGCACAGGTAAAGTAAGAGTACAGTTAACAAAGACTCTGCTATTGTGAATGCTAGCTGCAGCTGTGTAAAGAACATCAACAAAGGTCAACTGACATTTAAACAGATTCTGTCAAATTAAGTCAAATTCAAGGAAGCTTCACGTTATACATTATTTTATAAATATACATTATGTGCCTATACTTACAATGGAAACTGATTACTGAAAGTTACATTACAATCACTGCTTCATCTCTTAATAATGCCAATGTCATAAATTATAGCAGAAACATGAAGATAAATTGATCACACTATACAGACACTTACAGCTATTCTCATTAGCAAATTTGAAAGTACAAATGCAGCCCAACCCTGCTACTCAGAAAGAAAGCAGAGTCAACGATATGATGCACTCAGTACATTTACAGATGACACAGATAAAAAAACTTATGAGGTGGCAACTGAAAGAGAATCGAGAGGGAAAGAGTGTTCCCTCCCCTCTAGCCATGCACATCACAATACAGGGTTTCCCCTTGTGAAGGGACAGCTAAATCCTTCAACACAGTTTCTAAATTCTAGTCATTTCAAAAATGCTAGTCTGAATAGGCACAGAGACTATGAAGATGAACAGAACTGTTCTCAGGATCTCCCCAAGGAACAGAATTCTTTCCTTAAGCATCTTAGCTGCTGACATTAGCTCTTCTCTTTGCTTGCTAGCAAGGGTTAACAGTTGAGGTGCTTTAAAAGAGAACTAGTGCAGTCTCTGCTGCTGGTCTCTCACCAATACAGGACATTAAAGGCCTCCTGGATTATCTCTCAGAATCAGCATTTGAGAACAAGTGAAGGGTTCCTGCTGGAGTTTTGCTTTTCCTCCATTTCAGGGGCACAACAAGTGGGAGAATGTCTTGGGATCAGAAACTATGTCTGAAATTAAACAGGCCTCCATTGCCCATCATTATGTTAAACTGTCAAAGCAATACACTCTGGGTTTTGGCAAATGTACATGCAATACTCTCAGCAATTGTAGTTTTCTAAAATTAGCAGCATGCTATAGTTTTCTGTGGAGCTACACTGAAAAAATAATCACATTCACAGGCACCAATGGATTGGGAAGGTGAAGCAGACACCAAACTATTTTCCCATTGTACAAGTGAATCAACGGATGCCTTTGTAAAGAGAGGACATTCTTCTTGCTGAGAAATATCTGGGACAAGTGAGATAAATTGTACTCTCCACCAAGGGGCAGCAATGCCCTTGGTACTGGTCGCTGTTCCACCTTGGGGGCAACAGAATCCTTCTTGGTGGTCAGGGATTTCACCATCACCCTCCAGCCAATGTTCAGGAGAGGGGCTTTTTTCTCACCCCATGCAAATGAATTGCTCCAGTTGGATCAAGAAGGAGGGGGAAAGGAATAAAGAGATAAAGAGAAGTCAGAGAGAGAAAGAGAGACAGATAGACAGTAAAGTGAAACCAGAGACAGACAGACATATTATGGGGGGAAAGAGGGCAGGAGGCAGTGGGCCAGTTACAGTGACAGAAGGAGAAAGCACCAGAGGCTTGGGATAGGAAAAGACAAGCCAGAGAGAAAAAGAAGGGCAGCCAAAGAAACAAAGAAAAAACAGAGAACAAAAAACCACAGAGAAGCTAGAAAGAGCAGCACACACGGTGCACATGTAACACTTATGAGGAAGGCCTAGCATTTTTAAGACTGAGCCCCAGAACCTTACAGGGCAGTTCTTCAAAATGTCAAATGGGCCCCAAAAGGTTAGAGACCCTTGCTAAACCATACAAACCACTCATATGTACATTTAAAACTGGACATGAGAAACATGAAAGACTACTGCCATCCTTTTGGAACTGTCTCAAATACACCAAATTTAGCTCAATAATAATCACTAGCAAAGAGTGATCATTCAATTTAAAATGAAATCTAAATAAATTTACCTTTGACACAATTCAGAGTCTAGATGCTGAAAGTGAGGACCTTGGAGCAAAGTTAGGCTTTCAGATGTTTCTGAAACAAAGATAGATAATTTCATTAAAATTCTAAATGTGACAAACATTAGTTTAACATTTTAATTGCATTCATTTACTCAGTGTAAGTTTTAGTCTTAAATTAATATAAATCAGAATGTAGATACAAGTCCCATAAAAAATATTATATATAAAAAGGTATACATAGAAGTGATTAGAACTCTAGTCACCTGAACAGAGGCAAACATTGTTTCATTATTAGCCTTTGAATCTGTTTAAAACAGAAATAAACTTAAAAGGCTAACAAAATAAGCCAACTCAAACTAAAGCTCCACAGAATAGAATTATGCTTACCTAGCCTAAATAAGGAAAATGACAGGTTTTGCCCTATTGTTTTTGTTTCAAATTGTAATTTTCAGCCACATTTGCAAATGTATTTCATTCGTTAGATCTAAAAAATTTCATTACAAATATAGGGCTATTGATAGTAACATAATAAAGTACAGTCAGCTCTCCACATCCATGGAGGTTAGCAGCAAAGGACTTCCATGAAAGTGGAAAAACCACAAACCACCTCCAGCACCCACACCTAAACCTATGCTGTTGACCATACACATATTGTATTGCCACCCCCCCACCCCATTCTTCACACACGCTGGTGTAGCTGCAGCAATGGCTTCATGAATTTCTCTTCCTTTTTTCTTGATATACCATATATACCAACATATAAGACATCCTCCTCCATTTTTGCTTTGCTATTTTTGGTTTCAAGGTCATCTTATATCCTGATATATATGGTAGTAGCATGTGGAACAAACAACCACAAAGTATGCTTCAGAAAAATACCCATACAATTGTGCGTTGTCTGCAATTTTACACAGTAGGTCACAAAACTCCAGAGAAAATTTTGATTTAATTACTGATGGCAAACTTGCAAATAAACAAATGCACAAAAGCTGAGATTTGATTGTGCAAGATACTAATCATTCCTTTCTGTGTGCTTCAGAGCCTTATGTGAAGAAATCTGAATTTCCTCTAGAAACATGATTGCCTGAATGGGGGAAAGAATGTGCCTTTTCCCTATCCTTCAAGCCAGATATGGAACTTAAAGAGACAAAACACAAACATTTCTTTACATGCTTTACACTTATGAAACAGTCAAAATAACTCTTAGTCAGGATGTTCTAACAGTTCATGTTTGTTAATTAGTCTTAAGCAACTATGTAAAACCAAACTCCTATACAACTATCTAACACAGTTATAATGGAAAGAAGTCCAAAGCAAGGGGAGGGGGTGGAAACAAGCCTGTGTTTCTTTAGAGGTTTAACACAAGCCTCATTTTAAAACCAACAGCTCCTTTTTCAGAATTTGCCAGCTTAAGGAGTTTTAAAATATTGTTTATTTCAGTCTCCCAAGGAAAAGGGTTTTTTTTTAATGGTGTGCTACTTGTTCAATAATATGATACAATATTCTGAATGAAGCTTTGCTGCAAACATACAGATAATCATTACTGTGGAGATCAAAGATAAACGGCTAATAGCAAAAGCACCAGCTGCCTATTCTTTGCAGTACCTATCCAAGCCCAAGTACCAGAAAAGTTTAGCACGTGACAACTTTAGAAATTGATCAAAGTTAAAAATAAAATGCTGAAACTTTCAAAACTGCTACTCTGAAACTAAAGTGGGTTAAATTATGGTCACTTGAAAAAGATCATTTGCATTTGAAACTTTCAGGTTATCCATCCAACTCCCAATCCAAAACTAGAATGAAGTCTGAATATGTGCAAGTATATTTGCTCACATTCATTCCTTGTTACCCTCTCCCTCCCTCCTGTTCACTACAGCTGGGAACATGAGATACTGCCTAGATCAACACACAAGCTAAATAGCTTCACAAACAAACACCACAAAACCCATCAGGACCATAGACCTATTGGGCTAATTCACACATCACTCTAAGCCACCCTGTCAATCCAGCTGTGGATTGTTTATACACAAAAACCCACAGTGCTCCTAACAGACCCTTGGACTCACCATGTGTTGCCCCCTCTTCCCCCTTGGTCCTCTAGCTGGTACCCCACAGAATCTAGCAGCTAAAATCACTTTAGCTTCTCTCCCTGTTGCGATCATGAGCAATTTTTATCATTCACCACATTTCCTTTCTTTTTATCCTATCACCCTCCCCCATACTGCATTTTGCAATTTTCAAGTTGACAGCCAGTTCCAGTCCAATCAAAGCACTCAAGCAGCAGACTGGAGGTACTGTCATAGCCAGCACCCGTTTTATGCTTCCTTTAAGTGCAAGAAATTTACACACATTTTCATTAATTTTTAAAAATATTCTATGTTGCACTTGCACACATTTGCAAAAAGCAATCTCTGGAAAAAAAGGAGGGAAGGGGAATATGCAGAAAAGCTATGCCACTTGAGCATCGGTGGAGATTGTCACTGGGCAAGCTGGCAGAAGTAGCAAGGATTGCCTGCCGATTTTCCAATGCAATTAGAAGACTACTTTCTTTCCCCAAACCTATCACAGCAACAACTATTAAGCAAATTGTTCAAGAAAGCAACCCCCCTTTTTTTGCAACTTTCATTTGTTAGTTTTGCAAATTAAAGTTTTAGTTGAAAAACCCCTTTCATCAGCAACATTTATAAACTGGTTTCCATTATAAACTATTCCTAAATGGTGAACAATAATACCAAATGCTGAAATAGAATAAAAATATTTAAAATTATCTCTACAAAACTGTGGCCCAGCATTTACTTAGGCTTGCTTAAATACAAATTGATTTAGAAGATGCTAGAAACAGAGAAAGATTAGCTCCGGCCTGACATCAATTGTCAGGGAATTTCACAGAAAAGCACATTAAAAGCTCTAGTGTGAGTGAACTCTAAATAAATCAGAGGATCATGAGGAACTACCAGGAGGGCTTCATCCAACAACTTCTGTGATCAGGCATGCTGGAGAATAGCCAATAATCTGCTATTGCTTGTAGCATGACTACTTTTCTTAAAACACCAAAATATCAGAGCAAGTTTCCATTGCTCTCATGCCAATCTTCAGCACACAAGAAGTGTAAATGAGAAACAGCTAACACTGCGGTATGAAAGAAAAGCTACAATGACACCAGGGTGATTTAATGGCTGCTCAGTGTTTTACTCTTAAATTCCAACCAGTCTATACAGACCTGTGCAGATCCCAGAGTGTGCTGAATGAGCATGCCAGACATATGAGGGGTTCAGAAAGAACCTGTAGCCTAATATACAAAGACACACTGGCCTCAGAACATTTGCTCAGTCCACTTTGCTTTCCCCTCCTCCTTCCCTGACTGGGAAAAGGAGAATATATTTGAGTTAATGTGAGTGCGGGACAAATGCATTAGGGCATACACCAGCACTGGCTGCATACCCCACTTTTTGCTGGAATGTAGCCCTGGACATAATTGTCTAGTGCTAATTTGGTCCTCAAAATGAAGAATTTTCCCTAGAATTCCATTCCTTTGGAATCTGTTTCCACAACAGATTAACTTCCATCTAATATTTTTGATATTTAACATAGTCTCTTTTATAGTACACTATTCATTATACCATCAAATCAAAAAAACAATTACACCTATATTCCTTAAGCAGGTAATTATTTGTAGTAAAAATAACTAACATGCTAACGATCTACAGTAACAGGCTCCACAGCAACCAATCGCTTCATGTTGGTAGGATGGTAACTATCTCCTCCCTATTTCTATCCACCAGAGATCCCCCACCACAAGTCACTTGCTGTTAAATTACCAAATACCTGCTCTCCACACTGCTACAATGTTCCCTTACCCCAACTTCAGTTCATAGCTTCTGAGCTAGCTTGCTGCTTACAGCCATACATGCTTTCCTCCAGACCTTTGCTGGCAATGCATCTGCAAGACCAGGCAGTGTCTGGGGATGGCATAGGGATGCTTGGTCTGACTCCCAAATATATAATCCTGATCCAGCTCTCCCAAATCAGTGAGCTTCCAGCTGTTCATCTGGAAAAAGGCTATCCATGGAGGGTGCCCAGAGTCTGTGATCAGACTCCATCTCTTTTCTGCTTTTATAAAGCAATAGAAGTATCTACACACACTGGAGCCTAGTATAACAGATCAGTCCTTACTAACTTTGCCTCCAAAACCCATGGCCACCTGAAAGGTAAAAGTCTGTGTTCTAAACATCTGGTAGCTCTTTTTCAAGAGGAGTTATCACTTGAGTAACATGGGTCCAAAGGAAAAGATTTGTGCTGCTGTGTGGATCTTTCTTCTTTTTCTTTCTTCCTACCCCCAAACTTGGCACTCATGATTTTATAGTGGTTTCAAATTTCCTTTCCTTTATAAATGTGGGTTGCTGCTGGAATAGAGAAATTTGGTTCCAAAGGAAAGTTGCTTTGTGCTGGATGAAGCACACACATACATGTAACACTCTGATATGGATCACTCGCCCTCTCTGCGTTGTAGATGTAACCTCAGAGTCAATTTGCCTCCATTTTTCCTTTTTTGTGCAATTGGCTGCTGCTGTGGATTAGCCCCTTGTCCCTGCTTACTGCAACCCCATCAGGCTCCAACCATATGAGAACATTAACACAACAAAAACACAGACTGTCACATGAGGTTGTATATCATTATCCACATGCTGACAATTTCAAGAATCTACAGTAAGATTTGCTTTTTTAAAAGATATACTTAACTCCTAAGAGGCAACACATACTAAATTACTCACACAATCATATCTATATCTATCTAAACAGAACAAGTTCCACTGAATTTCAAAGGACAAACTTAATTCATTTCAGGAGGCCATATTTGCTGTTTAAGTTTATCGAAATGGCTATTGTTTAAGCGTCTAGGAATGGATTAATTAACTTTCCATTATTTCTAATGGGGAAAATTTATTCAGAATTGGAATGATTCAGAGTTCAAAAGGCCTCCTGAAATTAATTTTGATGTATGAGGCACCACTGTACTACCACTAATCCAATCTCTTCGTGTACATGCGTGCACACACACACACACACACACAC